CCCCCCCCTGTCAGCTGTCGTTAAGGTTTTATTTGTCCTGACTTGACTATGTGGCCGTCGATGCAGCTTTTGTTCGTGTCCTACAATGTCCTACATGCTCTCTATGTACGTAATCGGTGGATTTAATGCGTGCCGTTGTGCAATACAAAAGTTAACCTGATTAGAAGTAAGTGCCTAGACTTGGGCGCTATAATAAGAAGCGGTTAGTGTCATAAATGCAATGAAGTGTGTGGGCTTAAGGTTTAGAGGGCTTGATACTGTATTCAATTGCGCCAGCTGAACCTTAGTGCATGTTTTTCGGTACCAGACCATACCACACCTCACTACGACGCACCGCACCTCACCGCACCAGTGGATGGTTGGTGGACGCTCTAGTGTGGTTTTCTCCTGCTTTCTTATCAAACAGCTATCGTCTTTATCTCTCCTCCTTTTTTATGTCTGTTACTCTCTTGTAGCACCTCTAATCTTCGGCACTTATATGACCTAATTGTGTTTTGCAGGTACTGAAAAACGCTTACTAAAACAAAAGCGCCACACTACTTTCCATGGCATCACATCACACCACACGCAATAAGCAATACTCTCAATACACACCACAGCACAGTACACCACACCACACCACTCCTCACTACACCACCGCACACCACACCACACACCACACACCACACACCACACACCACACACCACACACCACACACCACTCCACACCACACCACACCCCCACACCACACCACCACGACGTACCCTCAAAGATAGTACACCCTACGGTGTACTATCTTTGATACCCTGTCGTACATCACCAAACTTGCCATAGGCTACAGTACGCTACAAACACACCTCACCACTCTGCTGCCAGCTGCATAAAATACCGTGCCTTGTACATTTGTCTATAAATGTCTAAAGGTGTAGCAAGAGGAAACGACGAGGTGTTATAATATATATAATAATATTCCACTAACGCCTGTGGCTACAGGTAGCTGTAATTCGGTTTACAGTAACACTCTCTGTCTCTGTCTCTGTCTCTGTCTTTCACATTCCAGCTTGTGAAGTGCTTACCTGGTGGCAGTATAATAATAACCATATCATTATGGTGTGTACGTGTGTGTGTG